CTAGGGGAACACCTTCCTGTAGAAATGTAGGGTCCGACCACGGGCTGAAGGTTTGGAGGCAGTGTGGGGTGACGTGCACCCAGTACGTGCCGCTCTGCCACGCCCATCTCGGGACTCGGCCGTGAAGCCAGAGCTGAAGCGGTCTCATATGAAGCAATTCGAGCGGCGTTACTGTGGCTGCGGATGCAATATGCCCCAGGAGCCATTGAAAGAGTTTCAGTGGGACCGCTGCCCTGCTCTTGATTGTACTCAAGCAGTTCAACACTGACCAGACACGCTCCTCTGTGAGTCACGATGTCTGGTTGACAGAGTCCAATTCCATACAGAGATAAGAGATCTTCTGCGCAGGGGAAAGTTTGCTCTTGTCCCAGTTGACCCGAAGGCCCAACAGGCTGAGGTGACGGAGCACCATGTCCCTGTGTTCAAACAACTGATCTCGGGACTGAGCTAGAATCAGAGATAGTTGAGAAAATGAACGCCGCGTTCTCGGAGTGGAACAATGGCTGCCTCTGAGACTTTCGTGAAGACGCGGGGCGACAGGGACAGCCCAAAGGGCAGGACTTTGTACGCAGGAATGGTCTGTGTCGAGGAAGAATCAAGACATGAAAGTACGCGTCCTTCAGGTCAATCGCTGCAAACCAATCTTGGGGACGGATGCACTTGAAAATGCGTCTCTGCGTGAGCATCTTGAAAGGGAGCTTGTGCAGGACCCTTGAATCGGTTCTTTCTTCGGTTCGGTTCATTGTACCCAAGAACCTTTCTTGGGTACAATTAAGTAGGGGCTGTAGAACCCTGTCTTCATATCGGCTGGAGGAACCAGCTCGACCGGGTCCTTCGCCAGTAGGACATCGATTTCTGCCCGCAAGACAGGGGCATCGCACTCCGCACAGAGGTGAAGTGGATGCCCCTGAACTTAGGAGGGCGCTGGGCAAACTGAATCGCATAGCCAAGTCTGATGGTACGGATGAGCCATCGAGATGGGCTGGGGAACGCTAGCCAGGCTCCCAGACACCGTGCAAGCGGGATTATTCGCTTTGGTACTATTTTCACAAGTAAGGTGTACATTTTAAAAACTCTTAGTATAAAAATCCAAATTGATCACACTTAACACAGCTAGTCATTTTTTCAAAACATGATCCCAGGTTTTCATTACAGTTATACATTTTTCAGTCCACATAATCATTGTTTCAAACACAAGATCATTGTAATATGTAATGAGAACATTTGGTTTAATCAAAGAAACACAACAGTATGATCTTCTTTCAATTTAGTACTTTTAACAATCAGTTCATTCAACAGCAAACAATGCAATACACATGTTTCAAATCAGCCTTGTTGCTGAAATAATTACAGTAATAGAGGCTACAGTTGCCACATTACAAAATACACATGCATTACCTAACTAATGTAATTGAATTCATAATGTTTGTAATGGTATCTGCAGTGAGTTATCAAAAGCTGTGATGAAGTATGACACAGCCATGAGGTTCTGTGCTAGAACAGAGTTTGCTGGCAATACAGTAAATTATTTCACTCTATACCCGTCACATAATGCACACAAGAAAAGGTAAGAACAGAGGGCAGTTTATTAGGGGTATTCCGTACTCACAATCCAGCCAGGCAAATGATGAGTACAGACAAAGGAATATGGGAATTGCAGTTCATGATGAGTTGGTGACGATAAGGGAGAGAGACCTCTAGTGGACACCCAGGAACCCCAAACCAGACACTGTGACATAACCCCCCCCTCTACGGAGCAGCTACCAGACACTCCAAGACACAACTACAAAACAAACCAAGAGTCCAGGAGGGAGGTTGAAGGGTGGAGGATCAGGGGGTGGGATGGCGGGGCCAGGTTCATGAAGGGGAACAGGAACAAGGGGTGACGGCTTAGCCGGCGGCCAGGGCGAAGCAGACAGTCCATCGGGCGGCCACGGCACCGGCGACCCTTCGGGCGGCCACGGCAGAGACCACCCTTTGGAAGGCCATGTCACAGGAACAGACACCAGCTCAGGAACAGCAACAGGCACTGGCTCAGGAACAGCAACAGACACTGGCTCAGCGGCGGTCATTTTGTCCGGAGACACAGGCTCGGCAGACGTGACGTGAACAGTCTCTGGATCGGCAGACGTGACGTGAACAGTCTCTGGATCGGCAGACGTGACGTGAACAGTCTCTGGATCGGCAGACGTGACGTGAACAGTCTCTGGATCGGCAGACGTGACGTGAACAGTCTCTGGATCGGCAGACGTGACGTGAACAGTCTCTGGATCGGCAGACGTGACGTGAACAGTCTCTGGATCGGCAGACGTGACGTGAAAAGTCTCTGGATCGGCAGACGTGACGTGAACAGTCTCTGGATCAGCAGACGTGACGTGAACAGTCTCTGGATCGGCAGACGTGACGTGAACAGTCTCTGGATCGGCAGACGTGACGTGAACAGTCTCTGGATCGGAAGACGTGACGTGAACAGTCTCTGGATTGGCAGACGTGACGTAAACAGTCTCTGGGTCGGCAGAACCCATGTGCTTCCTCCATGCCTGCAGAAGGGCCAATGCGTTGAAGGTGAAGACAGCCCTCTTGGCCATGGCAGGACTGATGGTAGAAACAGTAGGCTCAGGAATGGTCTCCATGGACATAGCAGGGAGTTCTGGCACCACAGGACATGAGGGCTCGGGAACCACTGGACCAGGTGAACGGGCAGCCTTCTTCCTCGTCGGTCTCCGACCGCATGGAGGTACAGCAGCCTCGTCAGCCAACACTGGAGCCATGGCAGAGAGAGTGGACAGCTCTGGGACACCTGAGTCAGAGACCATCGAAGTCAGATCCCCTTTGACCAGCGGGCTTGGGACCACCGAAATCGGGTCCTCTGGGACCACTGGGCTTGGGACCACCGAAGTCGGGTCCTCCCGGACCACCGGACTTGAGACCCCCGAACCAGACTCGGAACCGCTGGACGTCACTGGGTCTGAGCCACTAGCCAGCACGGGTTCAGGGCTCAACAGAGGTTGAAGTGGGGAATGGCGTCGGGGTCCGTGTCGGGCATGTCCTCTCCTACGGCCTCCACGGGTCCCAGGGAATATGGCTAGGCGGGTCCCCTCAAAGGATTGTTTGTAGTAAGGAGTGCTAGCTGACCAGGTATCCGTTGTGCTGGCGGAAGGGGGTTTCGGGGAGCTGCTAGTAGCAGTATTGGACCTTCCTCCTCCCACTTGACATCTGGCAGCTATGTTCTCCTCAGTCCTTCGAGCGCACATAGCAAAAATTTTAAATAACGTCATAGGAGACACAGATCCTCCTCTCCCCTATCCTCCTTGGTGGTAGGGGGAAGGATCCCCGTACTGCTGGATCTATGCATAGTGGATTCCTTCTGTCACGTAATGCACACAAGAAAAGGTAAGATCCAAGCGCAGTTTATTAGGGTAATCCGTACTCACAATCCAGCCAGGCAAAAGGTCAAAATCCATAAACAACAGTCCAAAAACAAGAAACAATCAAGAGTGGAACAGAGAAGTGCAACAAGTCAATAAACAAGGAATCCACAATGAACACAGACACAGACAGGGCATAAATAACCAGGTGCAAACGATGTGAGTGGGAACAGCTGTGTGCAATGATCAGATGATGAGTACAGACAAAGGAATATGGGAATTGCAGTTCATGATGAGTTGGTGACGATAAGGGAGAGAGACCTCTAGTGGACACCCAGGAACCCCAAACCAGACACTGTGACAATACCATTTGACTGAATCTATAATGTAGTGGACCTTTACACTTTAGGCTGAGTTACAGTAATGTGACTGTCTCTACCATGGTAATCTGTTTACAGTATCACATGGCATACATACTGTAATGTAAAATGCTGTATTTGATGCCATCTGTCTCCCTTCTACTGATGTATCTCTGATCATTCTGATGTTTTACAGTCATTGACCGTTTCTTCTCCCTTATACTCTATTCTGCTTTCACAAATGGCAAATTTATCTGTATCTCTCTCACACACACATGCGTGTGCACACACTTTGAACATAGTGGTGGTTATTATCTATAAATCACTTATATAAAAATAATTCATTACATATGGTTATCCATATCGGAAATTGCAAACAACTTCTAAAGAAACTGTATATAGAATCAATATCTATAGAAATCTATAGGTGTACCAAATGATTCATTGATTAACCATTAAGATCAGTTGGATTAAAAAATAGACAAATGTATTAAACTAAACAAAAAGAGATGCAAATCAAAATTTGATAATAAGAGCTTTATGAAAGGCAGTTACTGTGAATGAAACAATAATTTCATTCAATAACAACACTTATTTTGTGTTGTGAAAAGGATACTTTGTGATTTTGTGAATTGTACTAACACAATTGAAAACATTGTGAAATGTTTGAAAAAAGTGCACTTTTGATGATCTGTTGTGATATTAGCACTAAGAGTTTTGAAAATGTACATCTTGTGAAAATAGTACCAAAGCGAATAAAAAAACCTGTAATATAACAATGTAATATGTAACGATAAAGTTTGCAGTGGCTTCATAAATTAATTAAAAACATTAAAAAAACAAAAGTACAGCTGATGCACATAAGAACCTTGCTGTATTTTTGTGTAATTAATTAAGAGAAAGTACACTGCCATCTTACTCCGAGGAAAGTGACTTGAACGCAGCAGCCGTCGTAAACACCAACTTCCCACCTCGTAAGTATGAACTTGAATGCACCATCATCTCTGATCATTTGAATGTAAGGTTTACACAAGCCAGAACTTATTCTAAACAATGGAGATTTAGTTTACATTTACTTTCAGGTTGGGGTTATTGCAGTGACCCTGCGTATGTAGAAGTTGCTTGTAGAAGTTTAAGACTCTTGTAAACCATTTAACCATTCGTAAAAAAATGACTAGACCGCCTGTTCTAATAAATGTACTTGTCAAAGATCTGCTGCTGTTCTTCTTGGCCCTGTAATTTTCTCTCATTTATATGTACAGTTATCTTGTACCTGAACTCTTCTGAATGAGCTCCAACAGCGGCAGACGTCTTCATATTGCCTTCAGCCTGACTTGAGTGTGTGTGAGAGAGAGGATCACTCACTGGGAAATATAGACCACACAAACACATCAGCGGAGCAAAGTTTAAGTCAAGCCATTACATTGGTAAACAGTCAATCACATTACAGTCAGAGTGAATTAAATGTTACCTTGCTTGTGATTGTTCTCCAGCTGCTCAGCCAGATCGTTCTGGTTCATCTTCCTCAGGATCTCCACCGTGATCTTCACTGCTTCTTCTGGTCCAAAACATGCTACCATCTTATCTACTGTGTCTAAGATATCTGCTTTCTCCATTTCAGACTTTTTTATACGCATATGATCATTCTTTAAGTGCCACTTAAACATCTTCTGTTCAGCTTTTTTCAGGTCCATCAGTGAGTTTAACAGCAGTTCTTTAAGAGACGCCATCGTCCTTCACAGATTCACAGCTGCAGGATCAAAAGAAAAAGATCTAGTTTCACTCTTAACATGTTGACCTAAGTGCTGAAATGTTATTTGGATTATGAAATTAAGCTGATCAGATCAGGACTCTCATTCAAACTCATCTGTTAAAGGGGTCCTATAATGCTCCTTTATGCATGGCATCTTTCTTAAACATGCTAGCAATGAGTACCCTAGCAACCATCCAGAATACCCTAGCAACAAAATAGCAACACCCTAACGTCCACCCAAAGTACCCAAGCATGTACCCTAGAAACCGCATAGCAACAACCCAGAATGCCCTAGTAACCAAACAGCCAACACCTTAGGAACCACCCTGAGTACCCTAGCAACCATCCTAAGTACCCTAGAAACCGCATAGCAACACCTTAGCAACCACTGCAAGTACCATAGCAACACAGTAGCAACCACCCCAAGTAGTCTAGCAACCACATAGCAACACCCTAAAATCAATCTATCCATCTTGCATTTTTTTTCTGATAGACTGTATTGCCTTCAACTTCAAACTTTAAGCTTTTAAAACATCTTCAAACTTTCTGGTCAGACTCGATGTAGTTTTTAAATCTAGTTTATTATCTAATCCTGTAAATGCCCCCCTCCCCTTCCACAAGAGTGAAACAATGTGGAGAATCACTGTCTGTCCTCAAAAGACCCACAAAGTGAAGTATCATATCTGAAATTACAGGTAAAAAGAGACAGACAGATAGACAAACAAACAGACAGCACTGAAATATATAGTTAAGAGACAGACAGACAGATAAACAGACAGACATCACTGTCAGCAGACGTTTCTCTGAGTTTAGACCAGCGTTAGCATTCATTCGGTGCCCTGATTGCACTGGTTATGTGTGAACACACCGCAGACTCACTCTCACTCATATCCAAGTCGTCAACTCTATCATCCTTTACACGTGTTTAAGCAACTTTTCATGTGAACCGTAACCCTTCGACCTAAACTGCTGGTGTAAAAATGCCTTATTAGGCCAAACTAATAATCACTGATAATCCCTCTATCAGTCTGAGAGAAAGTCAGGGGAGAGCAAAAGCAGGAGACGAAGCAATGATGATGATAATAAAAAAGCTGAATTTATTGAATAATCTTAGTTGTGTATGTTTCAATTATTTGACTTTGTCTAGATGTTACACTTTGTCTAGATGTTACACTTTGTCTGACCAGTACAATTCTAACAACTGTTATTATATCAAGAGAAAAAATAAGGAAAATTACTGCTTCACATCATTGTCTTGTGCTAATGTTGAAACCTTGCTAAAAACCTTGAAATGGAGACACTCTCTCATCTCTAACTCATGGAGACAACATCCCTTCAAACCACACAATCATGAGATCAACCAACAATAGCAAGCACTGCCAGAGCAAGGAAATAAGTCAAATAAAATGTAATAAACGACAATGACAAATGCATAATAATAAATAAATGCTAAAATGAATTTTGAATGAAAATTATGTAAATAAATAATAACATGAACTAATCATAAATCAAATGACAACTACATAAATTAATGTGAAATTAAATATAAAAAGAAAGAAAATAAGAAAGCAACCAGCCGTTAATGTTGTTTTAAGTTAAACACAGGTTGTTATCAAAACTCTTAGATCCTTCATTCCTCCTCTTAATCATATGAAAACACTGGATTACATAGACTGATGAAATGTAACTTTCATGATCTAAACATACTCTGAAAAGCTTGTGTGATCAGGCTCTTCCTTCTACAAGCTCTTCAACAGAACAGGTCTTCTCTGTCGTACCGTATACCAGCGTCAGTTGAGGGTGTGTGTCTGACGTTCAGCCTTACGACAGTCGAGTGTCTCACAAAACAAACCAATGTACAAGAGTCTGATGAGAAACACTCATGAAACTGTAACTATTAAAGGTGCTTTCAAATGATCCCACTTATTCCCTTCAGATTTCACATTAAGAGCAAACTGATATCTATAATCAGTACTGTTGTATGCAGTCTAATGCCATGAACTATAATGTTAATGAGAATCATTTCTGTAGTGACATACACTGCTCGTGAACAGCAGTTTGTTGTGCCAGGAATAATTAACCACAGTAAAGACACATCTGTAAGCATTTGATATTGTCAATGGTTCAATATTGCTAGCAATATTCAATTCGAAATGTAATATGCAAAATGACAATGCAATATGGAAAATGGCTATGCATTCCTGTATTTAAATGTACATTTTCCATTACATTTGTGCAACTATGGTGCAAAAAGAAAATGAAAAATCAATTATATAATTTACATTTGCCATTTCATACACTAGTTTTAATATGTAAATTAAATATCGATTTTAACGCTTTATAAGTTGTAAAATTAAAATGTATTACAGAAATGCTCAGATATGTCCAACATGTTCATGCAAAAACTGTAGCAAAATGGTCATTTAAATGTTATATTTCTTAATTGCATTTACACTCACATTTAAGGCACTTGTGATTGCATTTTCATTAAGTGTCCCGCAATGAATGTAGCAAAATTCAATGCGCAAATGCACTCTGAGCCGATCACGCCCCCTCCCGCCCTGTCAATCACTGCGGGAAGGCGGGACTCGGCAACATGTAAACATAGGCTGTGTGTTTTGAGGTGTTGGAATGAAACACGGCGGAGGCAGAACTGATACGAGCGTTAAATTCACTGGCAGATGAAGTGGAGCGAGAACAGAGAAATGGTAGTGTTTCCCGAAGATTGTTACGCGTCTGCAGGTGATGGAACCAGTGCGCTGTTGGAACGTCCGGGATCATTTTCTGCCTAATCAGGCGTCGACACCCGTTTGGTGTCATCATTATCCTGTTGTCTGATGCTGGACTGTGTTAATGATGGTTTCGTGTATAAAATATTCTCATTGTCTGATACACATATGCTTATCTTTATTCTTATTACTATTAACTAGAATTACCCTATAATGTTGGAGATCATACAGTTTATTTCTTCATAACTGTAATGTTCAATAAAGTGACTCATGTGATGTACATGTAGCATATTGATCAGATATTGATAAATCTATAGGTACAGTTGGGTCATGGAATCTGACGGGTCAAATTCATAGAAGACTATTGAATGTGGAGCAGGTCGGGGGCTGGTGACGTAATCGTCTATAATTCAGTGTCTAATATTTAAAAAAACGAAGCTGCAAACGATTTTTTTTTTTACCCACAAAACAGCACAAACAAACGAGACTATTTTGCGTGAATTTGGAGTATGTGAGGGGGCTGAGTGACCTCAGAATTACCAATAAATATGATTTATTAATAAATAAATATTATTATCTAAGAAACTGAAGAAGCACAAAATAAACGCATACCTGCACAAACAAACGAGACTATTTTGGGTGAGTGTGGAGCAGGTCGAATCATTTCTGTAATACATTTTAATTTTGCAACTTATAAAGCGTTAAAATCAGTATTCAATATACATATTAAAACTATAGTGTATGAAATGGCAAATGCAAATTATATGATTGAATTATCATTTTCATTTTGCACCAAACGTTGCACAAATGTATTGGAAAATGTAAATTAAAATACAGAAATGCATAGCCATTTAACATATTACATTGTCATTTAACATATTACATTGTCATTTTACATATTGCATTTCAAATCGAATATTGCTACACAAATGCATCCATAGTAATGTCCACAAGTCGTTGTGAAAATCTATTTCTTTACCACCTCATATTCTGTTGTTAGTTTTTCGTTTTTACACATTTGTTGTCTCAACATTAAGGCAGTATATGCTCTAGTACTGTTACTCTAACTCTAAACGCGTTGTCTGGCAGGTTTATCATTAACTAGAATTAGCATTTCTTCGATGATGCGTCATACTGTGATAGTTAAGCAGCGAGTAATGTTGTTGTACAGGAAACATAGTTTAGATTGTTGAATGGCAGGGCTTGTCCATCACCAAAAATCATTAAAATGTCTACAAAACTATAAAACTGATCCGAGATCAGGTAAAAACCATAAACACAGGTTTACTGGGATCGGCCCGCAACAGCGAACCATTGAAACTTCAAAACATTTGGAAACAGGTGTGACGTAACAAAGACTTTCTTTTTTTTTTACCGAATTCACGTGACGAAAGCGGCCATCAATAGTGAAGACAAAAAATGTATTGAACAAGAAGCAAACTGGAGTATAAAGTCAGTATCTCGTCTGTAGCTCTTTCATGCAGGATAGTTCAACTTGCAAAAATCATATAAGGCCAAGGCACTCGAGAATTTAGAAAAAACAAAAGCTTTTATTCATGGCTATAACTTTTTTATAAGCATTCATATATCCGTAAAGCAAGTGTGTGTGAGGATCACATGCCAAGGATATTGAGAGGAGTGAGAGGAGTTTAACCACATAGGAATGTAAGTGCAATCTAGCATATTGTCCACTGATGCATATTGAAACGCTGTTCAGGTGTTATGGGAAGAAGGAGGCGGGAACCGGCGAACATTCAATAATTTAATAACAAAATAATGAAACCAATACAAAACGAAAGTAAAAAAGGCAGTCCTTCACGGTCGACTGCCGCCACACATAATAAAACAAATAACACAACATAAAACCAGGAATGTCCTCTCTCGACATCCACTGTCGCTCCTCCTTTTATGCTTCCGCTCCTCCGTGCAGAGGCGGACTTAACCATTAGGCAAAGGTTGGCAATTGCCTTGGGCCCCGAGCTACCTAGGGCCCCCCAAAATGCCCCATTAAAAGTTTTTTTTTTTTTTTACTTTTCGCAAATGATATATTTAAAAAAAACTCCATTTGCGAAAAATGGCATCAAATCATTAGTGTCGCAGACGGGAGGGGGCCCCCCACCTCACTACATTGGACTATTCCATTATCTCACTTACTGCGCATCTAAGAAAGTGACAAGGCTGTAATGCGCCAAAAAAGGCTGTAATGCGCCTGACAGACAGAGTGTACAGAGTGATTAACAGAGTGTACAGCGTAGAAGACAGTGTAAAAATGAAGCGAAGCTACCCAAGCGGTGCTGAAAAAAGCAGGAAACGGGAGGAAAGTAAAAAGTTTTTAGCAAAATTTCCAAAGGTAACAAACTTTTTTGTGATGCCCGCTGACAATGACAACAACGCTAACGATACAACCACCATCACGACCGTTAGCACTGCTGCTAGCAAGGAGGAGCTACCCGTTACTGCCGACAGTGCCAGGTAGATTAGCTTTACCTGCCTATCCACCATTCAGTCGGTACATTTTTTTCGTTCTCCTTTAAAGATCGGATGGGGGGCCCCATACTACCTTCGCCTTGGGCCCCCAATTTGCTAAATCCGCCACTGCCTCCGTGAGAGACACGAGACCGGTGCGTCGCTCATCAGTAATCACGCCACCGGCCTCGTGCCGCTCTCTCACAGCCCTCGGCCTCGTCCTGCTTGCCACACATATGTTGACTGAAGTATTCTCTTTAAGGAATGAGGATTGTGTAGCATGAGATTTATGTTAAATTTTAAACATGAACACATGTTTCTCTACCTTGTAAAGATAATGTAAGTTCCTTTGGTCAGCATATAAATGCCCAACCTTTGTGTATTGACGAATGAAGACCACCTCTCCAGTAAATTGTCTTTCTTTTCCATGTCTTGACATATAATAATAAATAAGAGATCTCATGGCATCTCATGGTTTTCGCGTCCGTGATTCGGGGAGAAAAGTTGAATTACTAGTCTAGACTTGTGCCAGGGCTGCCAACTCTCAGACATTCAGTGTGAGACACACGCTATTGACACTGTTCTCACACTTACTCACGTTACACAACCATATTCTCACGCAGTGAAAAATCATGAAGCAAAGACACTGATACCGACAGACAAGACAGGTTACATATGAAACAAAATCTCAGCTTTCAAATTCTGTCAATTTTATTGCATAATTCAAACAATAAATACAGCTCCATAATTCTCACACCAAGCTTACCTCAAAAGTTGGCAGCCCTGTTAGTGCTAAGCAATAAAAAAAACTGTATACACAATGTGTCAATTCTGTTTAATAAGTCTAGATCAATGTGAATGGATGCATGACACTTTTGAATTTATATCTATTAGTATTTTATAAAGTATTATTTACTAACCATGAATAATGACGACGTGGTGTTGCTTGTTCCTCCACTGAACTTGAACTTGAAGCAGAGGTTACTTTGAAACTCCTTTAAACTTTCATTTTCATGAAGGACTGTGGAGTTATCTTCTGAACTTAAACCTGTTAAACCAGATTTTTTCCAGTAAACTAATAGAACCAGTTTTTCAAAATGAGTGGTGACTTTGTTCTTTAAACGCCTGGACGTGTGGCGTTGTCTTTTTCCTGTTGTTCTTGGGGGGGTTTTGTGGCCTGATTTCAAAGCCTTATGAGACTCTAGGTTGTAGCTGTGATCTTCCTGAAAGCAGTCATGTTTTGCACATATAGCAGTTGAATCTGCATAATTATGATCCTCATTATTGATATCCACTGTTACAGCAGTGTCAGCTTGACAGATGTCATTGTTCTCATTGGCATCTTCAGTCAGGGTGGCATTGCTGTAACCAGCAGCAGATTTCATGCTAAGGTGGCATTTGTCAACTGAGGGATTCTCTTTATTTTCACCTGACACTTTGCACAACAACTCTGTATTATTACTTCTAAAAATATTGAGTCTTACCTTATTTTTCTAAACTTTTGCGGGTTCGGACAAACACTTCCTGTTAAGTCAGTGTTTCAGACAGCTCCGTACGTTAACAATGGAGCGCTTCATAGAGTTTTATTTTAAACTTGGGCTTAAGTATAAAGAAATACGGACAATGCTTAGTTCAAGGAGTTCATTAAAGTTATTCCTATCCGAACTTTCCAGATCAATAAATCGTGAGCTAAACGTTGTTAAAACTAAATTGACACCTATTTCCAATCCATAGATGACGAGCTACCACCTCATTTTCCTCAAAACGAGCCTAGTTTGATAAAATGTGCTTTAAAAACTTGTGCACTTCCGGTTTGACGAACCAGGAGATGGCAGCTAAGAGAACGTGCTCCCGACAATTTCGGACAAAGTAACCCACTACAACCCAAATAATTAGAAACAAACTTAGTTTAAAGTGTGATTTAAAACAGTGGGTTTTGAGAATTCCCAGAGGGAAAAATAAAAAGTCAAAGCAGACGGAGTTACTCGACGTCGAAGGGGCTAGCCAAACTTCATCGCCTAGCAGCGTAATGGAGGACGAGGATGATATGCATACGCAACTCGGAGCGGATCAAAGTGAGACCGGTGACTCTGGCCTCATATGGCGCTTTTCCACTGCATGGTACGGCTCAGAGCGGTTCGACTCGGCACGGTTCGGCTCGCTTTAGCTCGGTTTGCTTTTCCACTGCAGTTAGCACCGCTTCAAAGTGGGTGGGATAATAGACTGATCGTTATAGTTTATCCGCTCCTCGGCAACCAACGAGATGAACGTTGACACTTCGTCCACTGAACATGATTCAGCCATTTCTTTTTTTGGAAGTTTTTTTTCTTTATTTTTTCTTCAAGTAGTTTTAAAACAGGTGCTACAGCAGTGGCTGTTACTGGCTATTTAAATCTAGCGGGTTTGATGTCTCGCAAATGACGCTGGTAGTGACGATTCTATCTGTCCAATCAGTGATCTGCATTGTTTTCACGTCACATTTTAGTATCGGTACGGTACGCTTGGAACCTCAACAAAGGTGGTAAAGCGAGCCATACCGTACCGTACCATACAGTGGAAAAGCGCCACAAGTGAGCCGTACCGAGCCGAGCCGTACCGTACCATGCAGTGGAAAAGCGCCAAAGCGTGCCGTACCGAACCGTGCCATACCATGCAGTGGAAAAGCGCCAATACTTAGAGCTGAGAGATTTCAGAAAAGACAGCAGTCAGCAACTGAACTATATTAATAAATTCAATACTAGGATCGAAGAGGAGAATTGACGCGACTGAAACACGGTTACAAGTAATAATAATAATAATTCATTACATTTATATAGCGCTTTTCTAGGCACTCAAAGCGCTTCACATGGAAGGGGGGAATCTCCTCAACCACCACCAATGTGCAGCATCCACTTGGATGATGCGACGGCAGCCATATTGCGCCAGAACGCTCACCACACACCAGCTTACTGGTGGAGAGGAGACAGAGTGATGAAGCCAATCAGTGTATATATATATATATATATATAGGGATGATTAGGAGGCCACGATGGACAGAGGCCACTGGGCAAATTTGGCCAGGATGCCGGGGTTACACCCCTACTCTTTCGAAAGACATCCTGACATTAATTATGACTTAACGTAATAATGACAAGTGGCGGAGGATACCGTGCAGGAACTGCTACACCTTCAGATACACCTAGACGCTAAGCTGACTGATTTAGAGGGCCGCTCCAGACAAGAAAATATCAGAATTCACGGTGTTAAAGAGGGAGCGGAGGAAAATTCCCCATCGATGGTGGTGTATGTGGAGCGTTTGCTGCGGGAGGGCTTGGAGCTTCCAGCTACATTTGAACTTCGAGTGGAAAGAGCTCATCGTGCCTTGATGCCGAGGCCACCCGGGGAAGCCACGCCGAGTTCCATCGTTGTCAAGATGTCAAGCTACAGGATGAAAGAAGAGCTGTTGAGAATGGCCTGGCAAAAGCGAGGATTTCAAAATCTCGGGAAAAGAGTCAATCTCGATCACGATTACGCACTGGATGTCTTGAAAAAGCGAAGGGAATATGCCGAAGCAAAAGCGGTATTGAAGGAGAAGAAAATCCGATTTTAGACGCCGTTCATCGCCAGGCTTAGAGTTTTCTACCAGGAGGGAGTTGTGATGTACGGTTCGGCAGAGGAGGCAACGGAGGATATGGCGAAGAGAGGGTTCCCGGTGCCGATAATTAAACACCCGGACTCGCTTTTGGAGCGGATCCAGCGGTTCACGTGGCACACCGTCAAGAGACCAGGGAACCGACACAGAGCTGGCAGGGCTTTGAATTTTAAGGAAAAATTACAGGCTTACCGACACCAAGATTCAGGATGACTGTTAGTTAACTGAAAATTGCTTGGTGCGAGTTTGCTGGAAATATAACGGGTGAGTCCGTTGACTCGCTATTTTCTTTTTCTTTTTTCGCTTGGGACTCCCAGTAGAGAGAGGAATTAACGTTAAATCCTTTAACACGTCCTGTTTACTAAAGAAGCACTGAACGGGCTGCATAACTAAGACTATAATGTAAACGTCGGTGAGATTTTCTTTTATGTTGCCTCAGAGCCCTTTTTCCATCAGGGCTTCATCAGGGTCAACATTAAGACCCCACAGTTGGAAGTCTTTTTTTTCTGTCTTTATTGTTATTATTGTGTTCTCGGTGTCGCAGCAGTTCTTGCTGCCGTTCTTTGTAGTCTTTGTAGTTTGTGGCGTATATCCTGTGATTCTCTTTGTTACTCATGGTCACTTAGTTTTTTTGTTTTTTTTTGTCGTTTATTTCATTTCTCATTTTTCCCTTTAGTATACACTGAATGCAATCAGTTAAAATAGTGAATGGCCTTGTCAACCCCATCAAGAGAAGTAAGATATTAACTAAACTAAAAAGAGAGAGAGTTGAGGTGGCGTTTTTACAGGAAACGCATCTTTCGGATACAGAACATGCTAAATTAAAACGATTGGGCTTTAAGCATCAGTACTCATCATTAGGGTTGGGTATCGTTTGAATTTGAACGATTCCAATTCCGATTCCGATTCCTTGTTTTGATTCCGGTTCCTAATGATTCTCGATTACGATTCTTTTAAGAGGCGGGGTCAAAAAATTTAAGGATATTTTAAATGAGCTAGCTAACTGTGGCGAGCAGGACGAGGCCGAGTGACGTGAGAGCGGCGCGAGGCCGGTGGCGTGAGTGGTAATGAGCGACACCTGTGAGACGCACCGGTCTCGCATCTCTCACGGAGGAGCGGAGGCATAAAGGAGGAGCGACGACGGTGAAGATTGAGAGAGGAACAGGCCTTATTTTATGTTGTGTTTTGTTTCTGTGGCCAGCAGTCGTCCGTGAGGGGCTGCTGGTTTTACTTTCATTTTGTATTTGTTTATTTATTAAAATTATTGAACGTTCGCCGGTTCCCGCCTCCTTCTTCCCATAACAACGAACCCCGTTACATTGGTGCCGAAACCCGGGAGGAAGGAGGGACACGCTGTCGGAGAGCCCTCGCTGCTGAGGGGGATCGCGGTGCTGAGGAGGTCGGGTAGCACGAGGGAGCCATGGCCGCCGATTGTTGCCCGAGGCGATGGTGCTGGAGCGATGTAATAGCAGGTGGGACAGGGACCTCGCTGCCGTGCTCCTGGGTCGAGGAGGGGTGCCTGCTGTCCGAGAGGGAGCGGAGGAGTCGCTCCCGTTCGCCGTGGGCCGGAGCCTGTTGCCGTCGGCCTTGATGGGGGCGGAGCAGGGAACGGAGGACTCGCTGCCGGCTGCCCTCGACCGGAGGAGCCATCGCCGTCCGCCAGGAGGCGGAGGAGTGTCGAACCTTTCCCAACGGATGTCCAGTACCATCGCATGGCACCGCGAGTGAGTCTCTCAGCTGGCTGAGGACCGAGCGGCAGTGTGTCCGGGAACCGGACCATGATTTTTTTTTCTTTTTTTTTTCTCCTCTCTCCCCTCTCTCGTATCTGTCGCTCCTCATGCTTCCGTCTCCTGTTCTCTCGCCTCGTCTATCCATACCTCCAGGTGCCGCGGCCACCGTGATCGGTTCCCCCGGAGGGGGGAGGGGGGGTAGAGCGCAGTCTCGTGGGTACCCCCCGGCCTGCGAGGGGCGATGGGGGTATGTGGCGAGCAGGACGAGGCCGAGTGACGTGAGAGCGGCGCGAGGCCGGTGGCGTGAGTGGTAATGAGCGACACCTGTGAGACGCACCGGTCTCGCATCTCTCACGGAGGAGCGGAGGCATAAAGGAGGAGCGACGACGGTGAAGATTGAGAGAGGAACAGGCCTTATTTTATGTTGTGTTTTGTTTCTGTGGCCAGCAGTCGTCCGTGAGGGGCTGCTGGTTTTACTTTCATTTTGTATTTGTTTATTTATTAAAATTATTGAACGTTCGCCGGTTCCCGCCTCCTTCTTCCCATAACAACGAACCCCGTTACACTAACCAACGACCTTTCTGAAGGAAATAGTCTGACCTTCTCCAT